ACCCTCACACCCTCACCCACCCACCAACACCACCATATTAATAATAATAATTTTTTTTTTTGTATTGAAAATATAAGTGGGACCATTTTAAAATTAGTTATTATTTTAAATAACAAACAGTATTATTATTATTATTATTATTATTATTATTAATTTTAAATAAATAAAAGTTATTAAAGACTGTTTTCAATCCAAAATAAATGTAATTAATTAATTATTGTAATTTAAATTTAAAAATAATAATGATTAAATTGTAAATAATATGAATTCATTTTGTTTTATTTTTTAAATCATTAAGTTAAGTTTTTTTTATGATAATAATAATAATATTAATTGTTATTATTATTATTATTATTATTATTTTGTGTGTGTGCCTGTGTGTGCCTGTGCCTTATTGAAAATCATTTTTTTCTTATTGATTTGAATAAATATTAAAATATAAATAAAAAATAATGAATATAATGAAAAATGATGAGAACATTTTTTTAATAATTTTATTTATGTTACATAAATTGTTTTGGTTTATGTATTTCATTCATAATTAACAAAATTTATTTATTTATTTATTTATTTATGTATTTGTTTTTTTCTTTTTATTAATTTCTTTTCTTTTTAATAATAATAATTTTATTTTTGAAAGAGTGCAACTAGTCAGTTTTATTTAAGTTATTATTATTGATTTTTCATTTTTTTGTTTTTTTTTTGTTTTTTTTTTGAATTTATTTTTTGTTTCAAAATCAAAAGTAATAAGTAATGATAATAATAATAATGATAGTATATATGATTAAAATAATTGTTATGAATTAATAATTAATTAATTTGTCAATGAATAATAATAATAAAAAAATTATTGTTAAGGGGATAAATACCTTATGACACCATTTATTAATTTTTACATTGATTAATTATTATTAATAAATCATGAATTCATGACTCAATATTAATAATAATAATAGTTATTATTATTATTTTATTGTATATAAATAAATTAAACTTGTTATGATATGCATATATTACTGTATATATATATATATATATATAATTAATGTATTAAAATTTTATTTTAAATAAAATGAAAAATTTTATTATGTTTCATATTGTGAATATTTATTAAATTTTTTTGATTAAAAAAGTTAATTTAATTAATTACAACAACAATAATAATAATAATAATAGTAATAATAATAATTAGTTTTTATACAAGAAAATAAATTTTACAATATAGAAACTTGGATTTTATCATTGGATTATTACATATCCTGGGAACTTTTTTTTTTTATAGAAAATTTAAGTATTTAATATCCATCAGATGTAAAATTAATAATTAATTAGAAAGTATAAACTTACCCCAAACGTAATTATTTAATTTCAATCACAATTTAAAACTAAATAACATGTAAAAATGCACAAAATATTTCACTGCACAAAAGTACAACCACCATGATGAATCACTTAGCGGTCATTTTTGTTGTGACGTCATAACGCGCCAACGGTTAAAGCAGACGATAAATAAATCGTTACGTAATTCGATTCGATATGTAAAAATTTGTTTGATTGTTAATGTTCGTAAAGTTAAATTAAATGTTAAAAAAAAAAAACCAAAAAGTTTTAATTAAAAAAATTAAATATATATTAAAAAAATATTAAATAAATAATATCTTAAAATCAAATTATTATTATTATTATTATAAAACTTTATTTTTAAATAATAATTTGCCCGTTTTTCGCGCGTCATTTTTTTAAATTTAAATTACATAAAAATGTTACAATTTTATTATTATTATTATTATTATTATTATTATAATCTCATATTTTATTTTAATAATTTAAATACTTTGATTTGTTTTCTCAATTTCTTTTCTATTTATTTATTATATTTTACGACAAATACGAAGAGGGAGGGAGAGGGGAGAGGGAGGAAGGGGGGAAACCTTTACCAAATTTCAATAATAATCTAAAAATGAATTTTTTTTTAACCTAAAAACACTAACATTTAAAAACAAATTATCAAAAAAACCAATTTCAACCTTTAGATAAACAAAATTACAATAAAATTTTATTTTTTAATTTTACAATTAATACTGATTAAGCAAATCTCATAACTTGTTTGTGTTTGTTTAAAAGCATTAAATAAAACCTATAAAAAAAAATTGTTTATACGTATAAATAAATAATTTATTATTATTATTATTATTATTATTAGTATTATTGCTTTTGAAATCATAATAATAAATATAAACTATGTACGATCTTTATTTAATTTGTAAATTTTTTAATAAGAAAAAAAAAAAAAAAAAAAAAAAAAATCTATGCTTCTTTGGCATAGGACATTAATTTAAGGCAGACTAGAAATAATTAGTGTTAATTATTAAATTACCTAATAACTAAATAATTAATCTAAAAATAACGGACGTTTCTATTTAATATTCCTGAATATCTTCTTCTTCTTCATCGGTTAAACCGACTTCTTCTCCTTTTAACAAAGGCGATTGTTTTCTATGAGAAAGTAAAGTTGCCGAACTGTTGTTTCTCAATCTGTAAGAGAGAGAGAGAAAAAAATTTTCTTTAATAAAATTTTCCAGGACGAATACTTTTCTCTTCTTCTTCTTCTGCCACCCCCTCAAATTACCTGCTGTAAAGATGTTCCAATTGAACTTGTAAACTTTCAACCTGTTCTTGTAATTCGTCATTTGTTCTTTGCAACTTTCTAAAATAAAATAATAATCAAAACAATAACCGTAATCGTTTTTTTTTTGGGGGGGGAATGAAAATTTTACCTTATGTTGTTACTCGCACTGTCAACGTCATCTTCCGCCATGGCCAATTCTCTTTTCAATTCTTCCACTCTCACCCTCAGCCTTTTGACTTCCGTTTCGTATTGTTCGGCTCTACGTAGGGCGTGCGCGGATTCCGTCATTTTGTCTTGCAGCACTTTTTTCAATTTACCATGCGAATGTTTCAAATCCGACAATTCTTTATTCCTCTCCGACAGCTCTTGCTGAAGAGATCTTAACTCCGTGTCGGCCGATGCTTGCGGATGAACTTTACGTTCCAACCTTTCTTGTAAATCTCTCACTTCGGCTCGTAATTTTTTATTGTCTCTTTCCAAACTTAATTTTTCCGTTTCCAACCTTTCTCTCTTGCCCCATTCCGATGCGTTTTCCGCTTGAAGCCTTTCCAACTTAAATGTAAAATAATAATAATAATGATACCAATATACGAGTTTAAACTTTTATGTAATGTTAAAAAAACAATGATTTACTTCTGCTCTTAAATCCGCCATTCTTCTATCTATGCTTTCTCTGCTGCTCGTTTCATCTTGTAAATCCGATTGAATCTGTTGAATCGTGTCCCTGTGCTGATCTTGAAGGGTAAGCAATTCTCTCACCGTTTCCTGTTTGGCCAATTTTAAATCTTCGCATTTTTCCTTCCATTCTTGTAATTCCGTTTGTAATTTTTCAATTGTTTTATGCAAATTTATTTTCTCGTCTCTTTCCGCTTGAATCGTTTTCGTTGCTTCATCCAATCGGAGTTGAAACATGGATAATTTCTGCAGTGCCGTTTCATCATCGAATTGTTGTAAATTCATTTCCGCTTTTAACGATGAAAGCCTTTAAAAAAAAAAAAAAAGGAAAATTATTATTTAAATTTAATGAAGATGCTGGGGAAGTGAAGGAAATAAACAAATTTTTACCTTTGTTCGGTTTTATCAAAACTACCCTCGGGTGAAAAATGAGGAGCATCGCAAGAAGAATTTGAAGTTTCACCCATTTCCTCTTTATTTATATCATATTCTTCGGAATTTAATTTTTCTTTCGACTCATTGCTGACAACAGACCGACATTTTTCACCTTTTCCAATATCCAAACTCGATTTGAACGCATCAAAAGAATAAATGTCGTCTCCTGGATCGCATCCCGATTTTAAAAATTCCGAATCCGTTGATATTTCCAATGCTTGTAATATTTTCTGATCCCACTGACCGGCGTGTTTGATCAACAACAAATGTATCCTTTCCATTTCTTTTTTAAGCTCTTCGTTTTGACTTTCCAATTCTATTTTTTCTTTTTTAAACGAACTCGTTTCTTTCATCGTCAAATCTAATCTACTCCTGAGTATTTTAATTTCTTCCCGAGCTTTATTCCTTTCGTTTCTGACTTTGCTCCATTTTTCACGCCAGTTAGCCGTACAATCTGACCACCATCTCATAGTTTTTTCCATTTGAGCAGCTCGAGCTCGAGCTTCTTCCAATTCTCTTTGCCTGAGAGCTTCTTTTGCTTCCCATTCGGCATCACCGAATCTTCCAACTGTCATCGAACCACCCCCACCACCACCACCACCACCACACACAACTTCATGTTCGACTCCACTACTTCGATTACTTCGTCTCAATGATAAACCACCAACATTATTTTGTGCCATTTTATGATACCGTTCAAACTGAAAATAATAATGATAATAATAAATTTTTAAAAAAATTTTACATACGTGACTAATGCAGATAATAATAATAATAATAATAGCGATAAAATGATTAATTTAACCTTAATTGATATTGCGAAATTTTTTTGTCGAAACTTCATTTTGTTTTAATCATTAAATTAATTACAACCGATTTAAATAATTTTTTTTTTTTTATAACCATAATTTAATTGACTCTCGAATAAGTGATTATAAAACACTTTTAGTCATTAAAAATGAAATGAATTTTTTAAAAAATTGTTTTACCTTAAATGCTGCAGATTTATTTTTAAAGGTATCTTAGTTTCTTTTTGTGTTCTGCTTGATATGCGACTTCGAAGCATCTTTATATGATGAATTTAAATTTATATGAATATTAGCAACAGGAGTTGGCACTGCCTAATCTCCTTGCATCTAAAAAAAAAAAAGACTGATAAATATACTTATAATTAAAATTTAAAACTCGATGCAGAAAGTAATAATTACACAAAAATTATTTGAAATATATAAATTTCAGGAGTCTGTAACACTATAACACTGTTTTTTTTTTTTTTTTTATATCTATTTTTAAATATAAGGGGTTGAATTTTAAACAAAACCATTTTTCACACATGAGTAAATCAAAGAGAGAGAGAGAGAGAGAGAGAAAAAACATATTCCACATGCACTTATTAAAATATTAATAAAAATTTTACTTACCTTATTGTATTATTTGTCATTTTTTTTTTTTTTTATAAATAATTGACAAACGTGTCTAAATAAAAATAAATAAATTATTATTAATATTTATTTATTAGACAGTTTTCAATTTTAAATTTTTCTCAATAAGACATATACTGATAAAATTATTTTAGCATTTAACCTCCCAATAGCGAAAAAACATTTTTTAAATAATAATATATAATTGGCATCATGCTTCGAATTAAAAACAAAAAAAACTTTTAAAAATATATATATATAATTACTTAATATTTAAATTAAAAATGTAATATTAGAAAGAATAAGACCAAAAAAAAAAAAAAAAAAAAAAAAACGTTGCATCTGCAAATGGAAACGTCAAATGGTAAATATTTTCGTACGTGAAACTGATGATGGATCAGTGTTGCCAACTTTAAAATTACGTTTACGTATTGGAGATTTACGCGGTCATTTCGTCCGCCATTTGCAATTAGTTTCTCGAATCGTACGAACTAAAAAAAACTTTTATTTAAAATTTAAGTGAGTTAACACAAATAAAAAATAATTTAAGTGTAATTTAATGAAACTTTAAAAAGAAAAATATTGAAAAAGAAAGGAATCGTGAAAGAAAAGTAAGTTTTATTAATATATATATTCTATTAATTATTGCAATTATAGAAACGCACAGACATGTTGAGATAAGCTGCTTAAAAAAAAATTTCAAATTTATTATATATATATATATATATGTTAATAAAAAATCAACATTTTAATTTAATTTATAAATAACAAAACATATTGCAACGTAAAATTTCAAATGATGATGAGGAAACAAAATAATAATAATAATAATAAAATTACAACAAATTAGTACATACAAAATTAACATAGAAAAAATACATATATATATATATTTAAAATGGTGATGTTAAACATAAAAATTTTCTTTTATTGTCATTTCTAAATTTATGTAAATTCAATTATGAGCAGTCATACTAAACAATTGATTGATACAAAACCATAATAATAATAATAATGTCAAATTTAATTTACATTTTTCAAAAAAAAAAAAAAAATCAGTCAAAAATGAATATATGTCATCAGTACTTAAAAGATCAGTTATTTAAAAAAAAAAAAATATTAAATTAACATAAATTTAATATGTTTACTCATATATAATATATAATATAATATATAATATATATTACACTCACACTCACACACATACATTAAAAAAAACCGTTAAAAAAATTTTTTTTAAAATTTAGTATAACTGCAAACGTTAAAAAATTTCATTTGAAAAAACTAACGACCATGAAACCACAGCCGAAAGTTTCCCCTCCCCCCTCCCCCTCCCCATAATTTTCCCCCATTAATAATAATAATAATCGTGATAATATTACAAAAAAAACGAAAATAGATAAATACAATTGCTAATATTAATAACAATAATAATAATTAAATAATAAGAAACATTTATTTATTTATTTATGTATGTATTTATCACAGTATTTATTTGTTCAGTTACACTTAGCACGACGAATCAATAAAAATTATTAATAATAATAATAATAATAAAACAAAAATAATAATAATAATAATATTTAAAAAATAAGAAAGGTTACATTTATAATTTTACATCATGTTTGTACAAAATTTCATTTTTTTTTTTTTTTTTTTTTTTGTAAAAAATCAATTACATTAACATTATTATCATTATTATTTGCAATTAATTACAATCGATCGTACATAAATAATAATAATAATAATAATAATTAAAAAAAATAATATATATATAATCTTTATACTGAATGTTACAATTTTATATGTATATGTGTACATAATATTTTATTTGTATTATTACCTGCGAATCATCACGAAGTGCACTAATTATTTTATATACTAATTCATTAATTAAAAATAATAATAATAATGATAATAATAGTTAAAAATTCGATTTTTCTAAAAAGTAATGCGTATAAAAAAAATAATAATAATAATAATAAAAAATAAAATAAAAAAATTCTATGCATATGTAAAATTATACTAATATCATCGTGTAATATTTTGTCGTCGTTAATTTAATTTTAATTACATAAAAAAAAAAAAATATGGTAACCAAAAATATTCTTTGGTTAACAGTAGGATTTTAAAAATGCCTTTTTTGTCCGACATTTGTTTGTTTTAGAAAAAGTCACGTGATTGGATAATTGTTAATCCCACGATTTTTTTATATCCCTGATTCTGCTATGCCTTCGTCATCTGAAATTCATATGAAATTTTTTTGTTTGTTTTAATGGTTTGTTGTTCTTTGTAAAAAAATTTTTTTTTTTTTTTTTTGTTTTTATGTATTTTGTTTCTCACCTTGGAATTCGCTGTTGTCGTGGATTTGTCTGAGCGTTCCCGTGTTTTCGTTACCTTCCAAAACGGCTAAAAGACACTGGTGAATGCAAATGTATTGCTGCTCCGTTTGTACCATCCAAACCCTTTCTTTTCTCATTTGCCAAACGATTCCGAATATGTCGACCGTGTCCGTCGTCAATATCGATTGCAATATTCTATCGAGCGCTATGAATGTTCCGGATCGTCCGACTCCGGCGCTGCAATGAACGACTATCGGCCTTTGTTCGGTTCCTATTCTCTCCCTGAATGCTCTCACGAAGCGGACTAGAGTTTGCGGAGGATTCGGAACTCCAAAATCTGGCCACGTTGTAAAGTGAAAATGCCTTATGACTCTACTTATTTCTCCCTGTGGAAAGAAAGAGAGAGAGAGAGAGAGAGAGAGAGGGGAAAAAATGTCGCGTCTGTTCTCGGTTTTTCATTAAACCGGAAGTTGACAAGGTACTCACTCTACACGTCAAAAATTCCGTGATGCTCCAATCGATGTAATGACTTTGATTTAATAAAGTTACGGATATGTCACCGTAGTAAACCGGAAGTGTGTCGTAGGGCCAATAATGATCGCATTTTTCCCTTCCTTTTTCTATGCTTCGCGTGAGCATGACAATGGCACGACTGTTACTTTCCCAAACCATTCTCCAAAAATCATCTCTCGTCGAGTGCAGGGGTCCTTGCGTCACGATGAATTCTCTCGGAGAATTATGACCCTGAAAATCAAAGTGTAACGAGTACTTTTCCCGACGACTTTTTTCCTTTTTATCATGATTCCCCCTCTGACGAGTGATTCGTACCGGTACGTAATTTGCATTGATGTAATCGCTTCCTTCTTCATCGTCGACGGGTTGTAATTTGAATCTCGAGTGATCGTAGGGCAATATGTTTGTAAATCTATTCTTTGGTCGGTTGCATGGTAAATCCGCGGCCAAACAAGGTTGCTCTCTACCGACGTGTTTCAATTCTTCGAACTCTTCTGAAAATCGAAAATCCGAATCCGCCGACATGATTCGATAGTGTTCGGCAAATTGATCCAAACGAATGGGTCGGCTGTGCAATTGTAAGAAAAGTTTTAAAATGAACAAAATTTTCCCCATTTTCCGCGTTCTTTTCTTCCTCACTTTTCCCAACTCACCTCGTTTGCATAACGCTTTCGGGTAGTGACAAATTATCATTTGCTCTCGACTCGATTGTTCTACGTTTCGTTCCTCTTCTCCTGTTGAAAATCCAATATAAGAGTCCTCCTATTATGACTCCGAATATCGGTATGGAAACGCCGAGAGCGACGGGCATGGGATCCACGTCTAAAAATAACATCTCTGGATATACAGATAGAACAAAAAAAAAAATTTTTTTTTTCTTTCTTTTAAATCCCTTACCCGTTTGTATGGGAAACGAATAATGAGTGTCGGTGAATTTATCGGCTGCTGTGAAAGCTCGAACTTTAACCCTGTAATTCGTACCCGTTTTCAATGGTCCGTTGCAAAATTTGTGCTCGTTCGGATCGCAATTTTCATTCCCTATCGTGTAATCTTCGACCGATGAATTTTTGAACGGATAGTACGGATCGGAAACCTTCGATGATGATGATGATGATGATGATAATAATAATAATAATAATAAAATCATTAGAAATTTTAAAAAAAAAAATGCGCGTTAGATTATCAAATGTTATAGAAACCTGATAAGGCGGCCATTTTGTGTATTTTTGAACGTCGCTCCAACTCGGCATTTCGATACCCGATGAATTTTTACTATCGTCTTCGGCCACGATGACCGTGTACGCAATTATCGCTCCGTTTTGTTCGGAAAAATAATTTTTTCTAAAACGGATTTGTATCGTTCTCGTGCTGCGGCAAACTTCCGTCGGAATCACCTGATCGCTCGGAATCGGCGGCGGCAAAATGGGCATTTTTTGCTTCCATATCGTTTCCGTACCGTATCCGATTTTAGTTTCCGCTTGAATACGAAATATGTAAGTTTTTCCCGGTATCAAAGTTTTTATGACTCCCTGAAATTCCCACGGTTTGAAATCTCGTACTTGAGTGTATGAAGAACCCTGGAAAAAACAAATGGAAATTTTTTTTAAATTTCGCAGAAGAAAACGCGGGCGTGTCCTTTGATGTGATTTTCCTCCCACCTCAAGTCCGTAAGTTATCGTAAATTTTCTTATGACTCCATTTTGTTCGTTGCTGGGTAAAGCCCATTGGAAAGTAATGTCGCTCGGTTGAATGTCGATCGGGTGAAACCTTTCGACTTTTCCCGGCACGGATTCTCTCGTTTGAAATATCGCGGATACGGGAAGAGAACGACGTAGAATGCTCGATTCCGTGCCTGATCTCACGACGACGGTGAATGTGTAATTCCTGTGAGGTTTCAAATCGGACATGGTTATGGTGTCGTGAAGGGTCAAATTGTGTATCAACAATCCGTATGCGTTTAAATATTGGACTTCGAATGCGTTGTACTCTCCTCGCGGAATGTCCCACTTCAATGTGATTTCCGTATCCGTTATTTCCGTCGCATTTATGTACGTAATACTTTCGGGATCTGAAAATAATAATAATATTAATAATCATCATCACCTAAAACATTTTTTTTTTTTTCTCTTTTCCAGATTTACATAGTCTATCTTGACGTTGCAACGGTTGACTTTCGACACCGTCGCTCACCGTCCAAACGGTTATGTTATACAAACGTCCGGGTATCAAACCGTCAAATGTGACTTTCGTTTCCGTATCGTTGGCCAATTTTTCTTTCACGGGTATGCTCGGATCCGACAATTTGAACCTGTACAAATCGAAACGAGACGTGGATTGAGGCGTGGGAGTGTATCTCAACGTCACGGAATTCGTTTCCTGGAAAAAGGTAAATAAATTAAAAATTTTCATCATCTCTCGATGATCCTGTTTGTATCGATAAGTCACGTGACACACGGGAATATCACCGGTGACGAAACGAATTATAAAACTTACTCTTCATTCGCAAACAAGCAGCTTACAAAGAAAAAAAGAAAAAAAAATTAAATTTTTGTCACGCGCGTTTAAAATTTTTCTGTATCGGGTGACATGTTTTAACCGGACGGCAGACGACAGACATATTATTTACCTGTTGATCGTTGACGACGAGTACTTCGCTTTGTATTTGCGGCATGGTTCTCGTCGTGAGTTTTATCAAATCGCTTTCCAACGAGTATGACGTCGTGTATATTTCAAAATAATATTTCACGCCCGGCATTAATTCGTCGATCAGAGTACGAACGAGCCGATCCTCCGATCCGTGATTGTCGTAATTTCCCGACACGTTTTGCTCCGTGAGATTTTTCATTTTTTCACTTTCGGGCGTTTCCTCCGGATGCCATCGTATTATGTAACTTTCGATTCTACCCTCGGGTCGCGGCCATTCCAACGTCACGTTCGTCGAATCGATTATCGGATAAATGCTTGAAATCGGATTCGGACCTGAAAATTCCAAATTTATTTTTTAATTTACGAGGGAAACCTGAACCTTTTTACATATACTTTGCATACTTACGAACTGTTTGACTCGTTTGCAATGGTTCGTTACTTTCCGTACCGTAAGACAAAGTGTTAACTTGGATAATATACTTTTCCCCAGGCGTCATGTTCGTGATAGCAGCTTCCGTTGATTTCAGAGTATTCGATTTTATCCATCTTTCATCTTCTTCCGTTCTGTACCTGATGTAAAAAAAAAAACCTTCATTTACGATTCATTTTCATCTCAGACACGTAACCCCCGCGTTAAAATTTTTCACTTACTTCACGACGTATTCCGTAAATATCGAATTGATGGGAGGTTTCCACTTGACAACGACTGAATTACCAGACGTGCGTTCAACGCTCAAATTATTGGGGGGATGCGGGAAAACCGTTTGAAAATATTCGTGAGCTTCGCTTTGAAAACCGTGACTTATGGCGTAAACTTTGACTTGATAACTTACGAGAGAAAAAAAAAAAAGCAGTTAGTAGATCGGTGTTGATGTTTTATGTTTTGTGTTGCAAATTTGTTGTTCTCTCACCTTGCTCCGGGATATAAATCCGTCAGTACCAATTTCGTTTCCATTGTTTTTTTCGTTACTTTTTCCCCCGTGTCGTTTCGAATGTACACAACTTGATAGAGATCTTGAACAGAATTGACATCCGATTGCCATGATATGTTCAAACCGTAAGGTATGGGTTTAAATTCTTGAATCACGGGAGATAAGGGTCCTGACGAATAAAAAAAAAAAAATCAATTAATTAATCATCGATCGATTGATTTTTTTTTTTCATTGATTTAGTTCGTAACACTCACTCGTCGCTTGGAAAATAAATGTTTCGTTGCTTTCAATCTTATTCGAAACTGCTTGTACGGTTATTGAATAATTTCTACCGGGTAGCAAAGCTTTTAAAACGTACGATTGTTTATCCGTGTATGCTGTGCTACTATCTCCGTTATAAGTTTCCACTTCGTGATAACTGATTTTGTAATTTTCTTGATAGCTACGATTATCCGGAGTCCAAAATATCGAAACGAGACCCGTATTGGGATCAGCGAGGGATTCTAAATTTTGTACGGGAAGAGGCCCTGTGAAAAATCAAAAGTTATTGCCAATCAATGCCTTCGATGGGGGGGGGGGAGGAAGACAAATCCGATGGAATTTAAAATAAATTCGTACTTAAAGTCACGTTTCCGGTTGCGGGCCAACTCGCAACTTTTCCCGACATTGTTTTCACCGAGACTTGATACGTTTTTCCCGGTTCTAAATGATCTTTAAATTCTATTGTCGTGGGTTCTCCTCGATTTCTTGCAACGGGCGCTTGCCTCTTCACGCTTATCGACACCTGATATTTATCGAATTCGCTAAAAAACGTTTGTGGGGGGGGGGGAAAAAAAAAAAAATTTTAACCTCCTATAAAGTTAAAAAAATATATTTGTGAATCCTGAATCGTGTAAAACTCACCAAAGACCGCTCGGAGGATCCCAACGCAATCTGAACGAATAAGACGTGACGTTATTTTTATCGAACGTCACGTTGCTGGGTTTCAACGGGACCGTACGATATTCGGCCGTCGTGGGAACCGAAATTTCATCTTCACTAACCGTTTGAACTGAAATATTATAAGCTCTTCCGGGGACCAGCCCCTTGAAAGCAGCTTGAGCCGGACCGGGCGGATCGCCCTCTATTTCGACGTATAATACTGATTCTAAAGCGTCTGGAGGATCGATCGTCACTTTGTAATGACTGAATATTCCAGGCGGATAAGGAGGTTGCCACAAAACCAACAGCGTCGTTTCGTTACGAAACCAAACGATGAATTTTCCCGGCATGTTCGGCTCTGCACGATTCAATAAGAAAAAAAAAAAGGAGGTTTAAAAATTTTTTCTCATCTTTTGCTACATACAAAAAACAAACAACATCATGGAACTCTCAACAACGTACTCGTAGTGAAATTCCTGGAAGTGTAAGCAACGCTTTCCTTATTTTCAAATACTGTAAACAATTGAACCTGATACGATGCACCAGGAGTTAGATCTCTAAAAGTGTAAGATCTATTATTATTGTTGTTAATAGCAAGGGATTTCGAATCGACATTCACGTCGGATAAGCTTAAAACCTGGAAAATTAACGAAGCGTCATTATTATTATTATTATCATCATTAGCCGAAGACTGAGGAGTAAGTAAAAGAAGGGGGCATAAAATCAATACGATCACTTGCTTTTAATCTGTAACTCGTGTAATGTCCTTGAGCAGGAGGACTCCATGAAACCTGAGCGACTTTTTCGCTCGTTACGTTCACTGATAAATTCGTAGGCGGATCGGGAGGCGTAGTGATCGATGCGGTCCACGTCAACAAATCCGTTATGGTTCTATTCGTATAGTACAACCAAAATTCGTATTTCGTTCCCGGAAGTCCCTGAAACAACAAAAAAAAAAAAAAAAAAAATGGCGGACGTCAAGAAAAAATTATTTGGACAAGAATGAAACCCGACTAACGGATTTTCTTCAAAATAATAATAATAATAATAATAATCGATTGTGAAATTTCAAGGTCGGAACCGAGAGAGAACCGGAATCGCATATTATAACGTTTCCTGTACGTCGATTAAATTCTTCAAAAGATTTCCCAACAATATGTGCGTGCGTGTGCGTGTGCAACATTCAAATCTGCATTCGAGATTTATTTACTCTTTTGTATTTCATTCAAACAATGCAGATAAGGGAGGGATGGAGGGGGGGGGGAAAGAAAGGAAATTCAACGGACGGAAGACAATGACGACACTATGACGACATACCACTTCTACTCACCTGTGAAAATTCAATGACGTGAGCAATATCTTTGGACGGTATCGTGGTGTTGGCAGGCGGAATTCCGTGCCTCGGAGAATAATCCAATCTGTAATAGCCATCGTCATTTTGATTTGGATTTTCCGGTATTTGAATCACTAATTCGGCCGCCAAAGAAAACTGCAAAAAAAAAAAAAACAAAACAATAATAATAATAATAATAACCGTTATTTAAAATAAATGTAGAGAAACGAATAGAAGAAGACATTTTAGCGTTGAGAAAAGGAATAAACAAAAAAAAAAAAAGGAGATCGGTTAACGAACTTGTTAAAAAGAGCGGAGAGACGCAGACGCCATTTTTTTTTTTTTTTTTTTCACTATCCAAAATTGGTTTTATAGCATTAAAGCGAAATCGCCCACGACAATCCATTCGCGAATCGTTTGTTTCGCACAACAAGGTAACAACAACAACAACAACAACAACAATATGCCGCCATGACACACGGTATAGAACGATGTCATCGGTCGAAAGTTATTCGTTAGGGGCCGTGCCTAAAAAAAAATGAGAAAAATTTTCTTTTTCGTTCCGGACGTTTAATTTTTTTTCTTTCGGAACGAACAAGACAAGGCACGTTTTCGCTATAAAAGTTTCATCACGCTCTCGTCGTCGTCGAAAGAAAAATAATAATAATAATAACGATTCCGCGGAAAAATCTGCCATTCGGGTACTTCCCCACCCGAGTATGATGTTCGCGAAGGGGGTCACGTAATTCACGGGATAAAATAAATTTGTAACGGAATCAACTCTTAGACGAACTCGACAACGATCCGACTGATAAAATTAAATGAATATACTTAAGAGAAAGAGAGAGAGAGAAAGTTACAAATTGCTTTCTCTCTCTCTCTCTCTCTCTCTCGCTTTCGAAATCGAAACAAAAATTTTTTTCGAGATTTTTTCTAGAGACCTTCATCATTCTTAAAATTTTAATGTCGAGTACGAAAGGTTGCGATGTCAAATGAATGAGTCCCTAAAATGAAAAAAGTTGGGGATTGGGCGGGGGAGGGGAAGGGGGGAAATGACATTTTCCGTAATTACAATTGAGCAACGAATGTGCGCGCACGCGCGTGTGTCTGTTTCATTTAAAAAATAATAATAATAATAATAACGAAATGATTTCTCTTGCTCTTGCATATGCATGTATGCTCATACGAGCATAAAATTTTCACGTCGCAAATAACCGTAAATTACGAAAAGTAATTTTTTTTTTTTTTTTTAAATCCATTCATTTGTATTGCGTTGTTGCGAAAAAAAATTATTAACAAACGAGGACGTTAAACGAAAAAAATGTACAAACACCAACAACAACCACAACCAAAATAACAATTTTTAAAACCTTATTTCGTGCTTACAAACGACGACGGACTACTACTATCGTATCTCAAACAACTAAACAAACAATTCGAAACGTTTTCTTTCCTTTCTTCCGCCGGAAACGGGTAGAGTGAAAAAGAAAAGAAAAGACTAACCGGAAACGGAAATGAAATTTTAAATTCGAACGTAGAAAAAAAACGCGCGACATCCCAAACGTCACCCGAAACGGTTCAAAAGTATACAAATTTCGCGATGACCGTGTGTCACGTGACGATCACTTTTTTTGTGGTGAATCCCGAGGGATCCCAAAACCTTCATCGTCTGCTATAAATCTCAAACGCTTTTGCATCCATGTATTCTTTTCCGCACACCTACGACCCCTTATCGATCCTTGATTGATTGATTGATTGATTGATTTCGAATTTCGCATGCGTCACCATCGTGTCCGTTCCCCGTCAACATTTCCAAAGGTTTCTTCCAGGTGTTAGGTAGGCCACGGTTGGTTAATAAATATTAAATATGTCGTCCTTGATAGATAATCAATTTAACGCGATTAGTTTCTCATTATCATCGTCATCTATGATAACGATCATCCAGGTATTAGTAGGTCATCGGTCGTCAATTCGACATATTTCTTTTTATTATTATTATTATTATTATTATTATTTTTGAACGTCGTCGTTCCTGTTTTCTTATTCTTTTTTTCAACCTCCTTTCTTCCGGTTTTTTTCTTACGTCATTACATCTCCTCCTCCTCCACCTCCTCCTCCTTATTTTTTAACGATTTCTTTCTTCTCACGTTCCGCCATTGTTCATCATTCGTTTTTTCTTTTCCAAAAAAAGAAGCAAAATCAAACGGTATCCGGGTCATGTTGTTGTTCTAGAACATCGGCGGGGGAAGGGAAATTTACACCTGACCCTCCTTCCCCCCCCCATCTCCCCCCTCCCACATTTTTTTTTCCGACTCCCATTATTATTTCGAAATTTTTTAATCGGAACTTTGACCCAAATCTATTTAATATCTTTTTTTTTTTTTTTTTTTAATTTTAAAATTATCGATTCGTAATCGGTTGCCGCCATTGCAATTCTCTCTCTCCCTCACTCTCCCCTTTTCTCTCTCTCTCTCTCTCTCATTGTTAATCCGACATTCCGTTTCGCTAAAAATCATAATTCGATTCGGTTATTGAAATTATCGGTTATTTTAATCCGTTTCACAATCTCGACATTAATTTCATTTCGAAAACGATAGAATAAAAACGTTCGTGGCACGAGGGACGCCATTTTGTGTCACACGATTCGTAATTTGTGGCAAACCGTTGAAAACATTCCCGCTTATTTTATTCTTTTCTTTTCTTTCTTCATCCACGATCAAAAAAAATTTATTACTCCACTTTCTTCTTTCTTTCTTTTTCAACCGGTTAAATTTCTCGCGTTCTGCTTACACGTTTTTTTTTTTTTTTTTTTTTAAACTTTCAAAAATACCAAGTTTCGAATTTTTGTTTTTTACTCGACGCAAATAATGAAAAAACAAGTCAAACAACCGCAAAAAAAAAAAAAAAAATGAAAGATGGCAACTTTTCAAGTTCGGCAAGCAAGTTTCCCACCATCATCATCATCATCATCACAAATAATAATAATAATAATAATAAAATTGTTACGAACGTTTTCCGGTTTTCCAATTCCCGAAAAAATTTCTTATTTAAGAAAGTTTAAAAATAACAACTAATAAAATTTTTCCGGATGTTGTTGAGAGCAACGTTTGTTCGGTATCCGGTGGCATCTTCCTCCTCCTCCTCCTCCTTTATTTAATTCCACGTTCGTAAACTTTCTCGCTTCTCGATCGATCGATCGATCGATGGATCGAAACGAACGATTTCGTTTTCGCCGTCTTCGACTCGGACTTTTCACTTTTTTGTAACAATTGTGTCAGTGGATCAAAGGTGGTGATCGTGATTCCATCGTGACGTACCTGATGCTAATTGACTCGACGTGATTTCTATCACGTTAACTCGACCGAAACACGCACGCACTCACGCACTCATGCACGCACATACACGCACCACTTAAACTTATTCCATAATTAATTAATTAATTAATTAAATAATTTTCAATTTATCCTTTCGAAAATAATTGCGATGATCGACTCGGGAGTTATTATCAGGTTTTTTTTTTTTAATTTCCACATTCGATTTTTTTTTTAAAACGACCTTTGATTGTTTTTTTTTTTTTTTTTTTTTTTTTTGCGGTTCGTGTGTGTTGGTAGTCCTTGAAATCGTTCAACATTTAAACATTCACAATATGTTTTTTTTTTCCTTTTCCCTTTTTTTTCGTTTGCGTGATTTTATTTAAACTTTTCGTCGAGACGAACGAACGAACGGACACAAGGCAAACAAAACAAACAAACAAACAAACAAACAGGGGGACAATCGAAAATTTTTTCTCCTCTTTTTACAAGTTACCGTGAGAAATTCTTTCTCTCTCTCCTTCTCTCCCCCTGTCTCTCTCTTTTTTTTAAAAAACATTTTATGCATTTTAATGTTTTGTTTGTTGGTTGTTTATTATGTTTGTTTGATGTTTTTATAGATAACAACCATAAGACTTGAGCGCATGGCATACATAATAAAAAAATTCTTTTTTTTTTCCATTTCCTTTTCTTCTCCATTTTTCTTTCCTTTCTTTCTTTCCTTCTCCTTCTTCTTCTTCTTCTTCTCTCGTTTAACATCATCATTTTCTACCTTTTCTATTCTCTCTTCTCTTTCGTTCTTTCTTCCTATTCACGATTGTTTATCCTTCATAAAAATTTTGTTGTTGTCAACAATTCCGTTTCCCATACGTTTTAAATTAAACAAAATAATTACGTTAATTATACGCTTTAAAAGAAAACTTCAAACCTTTGATTAAAAACAAGACAATTAATAATGATGATGATGATGATGATGATTACAATAATAATAATAATATTGATGATAACGATAACAACAACAACAACAACGTCGTCGTCGATTGTTGTACGACGATGCCATTGAATTCACTCACGTCACGACGGCATTTTCATACCATTAAAATAATTTCTATCGCATTCACATGAAAAATAATGGGTATGTGTGGTGAATGTGCGTGTTTGTCGCGTTTGTTTGTTTGTTTGTTTGTTTACGTACTTTTTCGCGTCTTTCCCAATTTACCCCCTTTCCCTCATTTTCACTAATTTCCATCCATGGGAGAAAAAAAAAAATTCAACAGATTATCGCAAAAAGATCATTTTCCCAATTTTCGAATGCAAACAACAAACAACAACAACAAACGACCGCATTTCGTTTCTCTCTCTCTCTCTCTCTCTTTATAATAAAAAAAAAAAAATCTTTCAATAGGTTTTTTCCAACCTTGAAAAAAAAAAAAAAACTTTCAATATAAAGTTATCAATTTTTCATTTGTTTTTTTTTCAACAAACAAATCGAACAGAAAATTTATCGATAATAATAATAATAATAATACTAATAATAATAATAATAATAATAATACTAATACTAATAATAATAATAATAATACTAATACTAATAATAATAATAATAACTCTCGTAATTATTATTATCATTATTATTTTCTTTTTTTTTTTTTTTTTTTCATTTACGACTAAATTCGACTTATTCTCTCTCGTTTATGATCTCGGGAAACCGGATATAGATGAATCGAAATCGTGGTCGCACGTGAATAACTTCCTGTTGGCGCACGCACCCAAGAATTACACACACACACAACCTATTGTTCATTCAATTCAAAAATCGTTACTCAAACCTGAATATTTAACGAGGGGGCAGGGGGCGGGCAGGAGGCGGAGAGCGGGGAGAGGGGAGCGGGAAAAAAGAAACATTCGTTACGAAACTTTTTTTGTTTTCTTTAAATAAATAAATAAATAAAACAATTTTTCCTCATCGTTTTTTTTTTTTTCCCCTCCCAACCGTAAAATTTAATTCTTAAAGGTTTTCCTTTTGCTCGTGCGTCGTCTGCTAGGCTTTTTTTTGTTTTTATAAAAAAACTACACGACAGCAACTTTAATTCTT